TAAATAGGGACATAGTAGTATACTTAAAGTATGATGTCAAGTTCACCTTACGAGTATACTTGCAGTATAAAACTACTAAACTAGTACTTTACTGAGACTATACTTCAAAGTGTACTAGAAATGCTACTACAAGTATTTAATTAGTAAACTATCAGTATACCTATAAGTTCACTTTTAGTATAGTTGCAGTACAAACTAAACATTTTGATGTAAACTAGTTGTGTACTCAAAGTTTACTACTGTTATACTTAAAAGTATACTTTAATATACTAGAAAGTGGGCCAATTTAGTCCCAAGGAGTATTGAAACAGTACACTTACAAGTATACTACTAGTACACTGATATTTGTATACTTACTACATAAAGTATACTTAAAAATATACTTGAACTATACTTAAGTATACTTGCTAAAATAAACTTGAAGTATACTACTTTTTGGTAAGGGTAGCCTACTTATAAGTTCAGAGAACATTCAAAAGTAACATTACCATAGTGTTTACAAAACAATAAAATTGAACATTATTGTCTGTAATATTGTCTCTAACGTTCACATAACCAGGAAAAACGTTTTTTAAACATTTGCATTTTTTTTAACGTTTTGAACATTCAGAGAATACTCAAATAACATTTTTTATAACTTTTTGGCAACATTACCAAAACGTTCTTAGAACATATTTTAGTTAGCGGGGATATTTATGGATGTGTACAGTCCTACCCTTACCAAAAAGTAGTAGGATACGTTTCATAAATAAAAAAAATAAAGAAATAAACTACATTTTGAACAAAAAGCTGAAAAAAGACTATGAATTGGATTCAGAATGATAATAAAATGTAGATAAAATCGATCAACACTCCAAAGCTTGACAGTTATTATTACCTCTTCATTGGTCAACATTTTATTCCATAACGTTACACAGTTTTGATACTGTTTTATGTCTGATGATCGTGATAGATTACATGTGGAAGCATCTGTTGTTTCGGTTTCTTCTTCACTTGTGTTTTTTGGAAATTCTGATCAGAAGATGTGTACTACAGTATAACAATGAAAACATGGATTCTAGGAACACAAGTATAACTCAAATATATTTAGACCTTTTCTAAGTATAAGTCAAGTATACTTAAATGTCATTTTAAGTATATTTCTGAGAAGTACATAAAGCCAATTTCTGAGAAGTACATACAAAGTAGACTAAAAGTATACTTTCCTAGTTTTAGTTTAAAAGAAGTATACTAATAGCACACTTGAATAAACTTCTTTTTCGTAAGGGTAGCTAACAGGGAACGTTTTCAGATTCTTGGCTAATGTTCTGACAAGGTTGTCTCAGAGTTAGAAACAAACGTTCTTCCAGTTACATTAACAGAATGTTTGTTCAAAGTTATCTGGTCTTTAATAATGCTCTCAAAACGTGAGCATAAAAATATTATTATACATCATTCATGGAACGTTTTTATTTTTGTTCCTAAAAGTTATAGTTGGATGTTTGTCTGGCATTTTTGAAATGTTAGGCCTACTACTTGTTTCGGAATGTTCAGAGAACATTCAAAAGTAAAACTCCCATAATCTTTGCAAAATGATCAAATTGAACATTCCCTTAACATTCACATAATTAAGAAAACGTTTTGTTTTTAAAAAATATATATAAAAGGACGTTTTGAACATTCAGAGAACATTTAGAAAATACTGATTTCATAACTTAATGGGAACGTTATAAAAATGCTCCTGAAACATATTTTTGTTAGCTACAATAGAAATGCTACACTTTACAATTAGTTAAAATGTTCCATGGGACTACAATGATTTTTGTACCCTGCTAGTAAATACCATGGTAAATTAATTTAAAGACCGTAATTTTTCCTTTGATGTCATTACCATAGAAATGCTAGAGTTCTGCTTATACAATCTCACACACACACACACACACACGTTGGTATATGTGCTTTACGGGCACTCTCCATAGGCGTAATGGTTTTTACACTGTACAAACAGTATATTCTATCGCCCTACACCTAAACCTACCCCTCACAGGAAACTTTCTGCATTTTTAGATAAAAAAAAACAAAACACCATTTAGTATTTTTTTTAAGCCTTTTGAATTACAGGGACACAGGACTCATAAAACACCTTCACATTGTAATGCCTATGTCATACCCATGTTATTATACAAATTTGTGTCCTCATAAACCACATAAACGCACGCGCACACACACACAGTGATTGGTTAATTGTGTTCATGTGTGCGAGTGCTGAATGCATTAGGTTAGACAGGAGCTTGTGCAAGTTATTGTCTTGCTTAATAGATTGAGTTGTACGGGTCAAAATTACAGTGGATTTCTGCATCACATGCCAAAACAGAAACAAGCTACACACGCATGTTCACCATAATGAGCATAAAAATACTCGCATCTCAAAACCGATAAACCAAAATGGACCAGTATTTTGCACTGATACCATCAATTAGTACATAAAAAGTATCATAGTATTACCACTGTATACATGGTACTGCTATACAGTATGGCAGTTATTTTAAGGGGCAGTTATTTTCTTTGTTTAGAAACCGAACTAATAACTCTATTGACCTCAAACTCCCTCCAGTTCACAGTTTATATCTGTTTGAAGGCCAATCATAGTGCTGTATTGAATGCATATTGCCAGCATGTGGAGTTCAAATCCAGAGCACGAGTGTGTAACGACTTTAATTTGATCAAGCTTCAAGGAACGACTGTAAGCAACCACATGTGTCACGCTTACAGGAACTTTTCTTTTAAATTAAGACTGTCATAAGTGATGGTCATGGGACACGCCATTGATCTGCATTTGCCTAGTGATATTAGATGAAATCACGGTTTCTGCAATTAATATTCAAAAATGTTGCTAAATGACCAATATCGAGAGACAATAGCAATGATAATGACAGGAAACTTTTTGTGTATATAGTTTCTTCACTTTCTGTGCTAAAGAATAAAGATCTCAGCAGGACGAGATCACATCACTTATTTACTTACATGGGACATTTTCAAATTTGTAAGATATCCAATTAATCGCACTTTCTTTAAACAAGTAAAATAAATAAATAGGAAAGATGTTGGGAATTTTAAATTTCTCAAATTTGCTTATACAAATTATGGTGAAACTGAGAATCTTCATGTAAATAAAATCTAAATGAGATCTTAAATCCTAACATCCCAAAAGAAGTGCATAATTTTAACATCAATAATTTGGTATGTTTCACACTTGGCAGTAGGTCGCACAGTTTCAAATGTATCACCAACCAACCAACAACAAAAAAAAAAAGTTTGTAGGTGCATGCAAACTCACATATATTGATCCGTTTTTGACCTGCTGTAGATTTTTCTGGCATTAAAGAACGGACTTTGGTAGCAGTGAAGCCCGATGGCGTTCAGAGACGGCTGATTGGTGAGGTCATCAAGCGCTTTGAGCAGCGAGGATTCCGATTGGTGGGTCTGAAGATGCTGCAGGTGAGTGATTCACTCAGATATCATTCATGACTGTATGTGACGCGTTTCTACATAATGTGCATGCACTGTATTTTTCAGGCTTCTGACAAGCTTTTAGCTCAGCATTACGTCTCGCTGCAGAGGAAACCCTTTTACTCCAGCCTGCTTTACTACATGACCTCTGGCCCCATAGTTGCCATGGTGAGGGCCAGTCAAACAGCTATGCTTTACGTTACGCCACATTTTATGGACATCATACTACTATAATACTTATAATGTTTCTGCAGAATGCAAATTATCCACAAGAGTGCAAAACCCAGATAACACTGCATTTGACAGAGTAGAATTAAGTATCCCACAATGCAGTGCACTTCCATTTACATTGATAAATAAACATCCAAAAATAATTTCTACTCAAATAGTGGATTAGAAATGCAAAATGTTTTTAAACATGCAATAAAATAAAGAAAAAAAGGTTGCATATTTTTACACGTCACAAAAATACGCGTACTATTGAGTTTTTTTACACGTCACGTACTGTCATGAAGATTGACGAAGTTGAAATTCACATTCCTCATTGGTTTGTTTTCAGGTGTGGGAGGGGCATAATGTAGTGAGGTCATCACGTATGCTGGTGGGAAGCACAGACCCTGCTGAAGCCGCACCGGGAACTATTAGAGGAGATTTCAGTGTTCACATCAGCAGGTATTTACATACACTCATTATTCTGAGTGCAATATTAGTGTACTGCATACTGCACACTATATAGTGCACACTATTATTCCAAACACAGCCACACACACACACAGTTAAACACAATATCAGCCTCTCAGTTTGAAATTGCATATAAATTAAGCAATAAACCTTTGGCATGTATATGAGTCGCATGGATGAAATGACTTTCATCACTGTTAAATTCATTCAGAAATGTCGTCCATGCGTCTGATTCTGTGGAGGGAGCAGAGCGGGAGATTTCACTGTGGTTTCATCGCTCAGAGCTCATCGACTGGGAGGGATGCGATCATAAAAACATTTACCACATATGAGTTTCGGTTTATGATGTCTATATGTGTTCAATTAACTCTGATCACTCTCAGCGGGGTTGATTTCAGCTCAATTTCCTTAATAGCACATAAAATGCTGATTACTGTTTATCCAGTTTTGGACTGCAAATGATATGTTATTATGTTAAAATAATCCAATGTAAATAGATTGAAATGTTATATTTTATATTATAAATATTAAAAAACTTTTGGAGAAAATACATATACAAAAGGTGGCCTTGAATATTTTCAAATAGACTTTTAATTTTAATAAGTCTTAACAGTTCCTAATTGTTTTAAAAAGCAATTTTTGTTCTATTTTAACTGAACCTAAGCATTGATCACATACAGTACATGCACATTGCTGATCAATATAATAAACCTCTGTAACCAATGTGCTTTAATGCCTTTTTTCAATAAAAAAAAAACAAAAAACGTGCATTTTAGCAGATGCTTGTCATCCAAACCCAGTCCCTTCACTCAGGGGAAAATGCATTAAAAGTGCATTAAATAATTATTTATAAACTGTTAATTTAATGTGACAAAGGTACATCAAATAAATACTTGCTGTAACAAAACAAACAAGTACAAGTGTTTGTTGTGTGAATATATTTACTTCATATATCACAGTATGCTTAATATGGTGCACAACTTTTGATGTTTTAGCTTATTTTAAAGGAATATCTTACCCAAAAATGAACATTTGCTGAAAATGTATTCACCCTCAGGCCATCCAAGATGTAGATGAGTTTGTTTCTTCATCAGAACAGATTTGGAGAAATGTAGCATTACATCACTTGCTCACCAATGGATGCACTGCAGTGAATGGGTGCCGTCAGAATGAGAGTCCAAACAGCTGATAAAAACATCACAATAATCCACAAGTAATCCACACCCCTCCAGTCCATCAGTTAATGTCTTGTGAGCAAAAATCTGCATGTTTGTAAGAAACAAATACGTCATTAAGGTTTTATGAGTTCATAATTCATAATAACACTTCCTCCAGTGGAAAAAGTCCATCTCCTGTTGTCTCTCACATCAAAAACATATTTGTTTAGAACTGTTTTGAACTATTTTTGCTTGTAAAACATGCTTGATCTGTGCATATTTCTCTCCTGATTCAGACATTGTCTGAATTGTTAACTTATGGACTGGATTACTTGTGGATTATTGTGATGTTTTTATCAGCTGTTTGGACTCTCATTCTGACGGCACCCATTCACTGCAGAGCATCCACTGGTGAACATGTGATGTAATGCTTCATTTCTCCAAATCTGTTCGGATGAAGAAACAAACTCATCTACATCTTTGATGGCCTGAGGGTGAGTACATTTTCATGTTTGGGTGAACTATTCTTTTAATGCTTGTTTTAAATCCTTTTAAGTCACCATGAGGGCCCCTGGCTGGAGGCTAAACTGGATTTGAAGATCAAAATAACCACACAGACTCATCGTTACAGTCAAGAACATCCTTTTATTCAATCAGTTAAAGGTGCTGCTCTTACTTGTTTTTCTTATTATGGAAAAGAAATTGTAATCAACACATGCATTTCACCATGAGCTCTGGAAGGCGTGTGGACTGAGAAGGGCGCCGCTCGAGGAGTTCAAACCAGGGCCGGAGCCGCCAAGGATTCATGCTACTCTAAACGCATCCGAATGCCCCGCTCAACAAAAGAGTACAAAAGTAAATACGAAAGAAAGAAAATGGACGGTCAGTACCAGGGAGGGACAACGAGAGCGCCAAACACATGTCCGTCGCTATGGCTTTCACTTACAGTTATTAATAAATCACAGCCAATGCGGACGCCGGCTTCACGGACTCGGGAAAGTGAAACAATTGCATATTTTGTTTGTGGGAGGAAGCAAGTTTTCGTTAAGCCCACGATGTGGGCTTTTGCTGGTGAGTTTTCAAGTTAATTTTAGTCTCGCTCAGGTTTTTGTGGCGTGCGTCACTTTGGTCTATGAGATTGGCTCGTAACACTGGGCTCGCGGTCGCTTTGAAACTGTGTCGCTTTCCCTGGGCTGAAACCACTCCGTTTTTAAGGTGCTTCGTCTTGACAGGAACTTTTTTTATTTTTTATTATTATTTTCTGGTCACGTAAAACCATTCAAAGGTGCATCATCAATACAGATTCTCAATGCAATATTAATACAAACAGATCATAGCAAATCAAATGAATTTGGTAACAAAAAAGAAATAAATAGCTCAACTCGACTATTCTACCCCAGCGGTCGGCCTCTATTGTTTTCACAAACCGCGTCCAGCTGAAACGCCCGTCTGTCGGACGGCCCACCAGAGCTCACCGGCATAACTTGTTCACGTACATTAACTGTTCAATGGAGAAGCTGAAGAGATCGGTATGAATACAACGTGAAGCGTACAGACAAGAATAACATGTGAGCTAACTGCATTCTGCTCAGACAACATATTTTTCTTACTTTTTTTATTTTTTTATTTTAAAACCCCTCCGTTCAGAGAAAAGGGGCACAGGGGAGGGCGATGCTTATGCAACTATAGACTACTCCAGTGTCCAAAAGAGGCAGAAGACAAGATTACAGAGGAAGGAAAAGCAAGACAGAAAGTTTTTTTTTGTTGTCATTTTTATATTTTCTACAGTTTTCTAAATTATTCAACAATAAAAAGATGAACTAAGTCACACCGATTTCCTTTAGTACTATATATACTGCTTTGAAGAAGTTGCGGAAGGAGAAATACAGAAGTTTGAACGAGGGGATTTTTTTTTGTTTTGTTTTTTTTTTTCTTTTTTTTTGAGATGGGCACTCAGGATTACAAGATGGTGTCTGTGAACAAAAGGCACTTTTTAGGGACAACCTTTATGATGCTCTGAGTCTAACACTAGATCACAAAACAAATATTTAGAGTCATTTACATGGGGGGGCAGTAGAGGGCGCTGCAGGTTCAGAGGGGGAGGGGTTCAATTTCAACTCTCTTTCTGATCAGTCGCTGACTTTGTTTGGAAATTTGTTTGGGTGAATCTTATTACGAAAATGATCACATTTCATCCCAAAATCGAAAGAAAATTTTTAATTTTTTGCATGGACCATTAGTATGTTTTTGTATTGTAACATTTATTTTTGACAAAATAATTTTTTTTCTTATGATTTCTGAATGAAATATACAGAGCCCCACAAATGACATGGAACATTTTGTTCCCCCACGAATTAAGAATTTGTTTCTGTGACTTAAGTTTCGTTGTTTTCGAAAATCGTAGCCATGTTGTATAAATTTGTTCAATCATTTTCGTAAATTGTGGTCATGTTGTAATAATTTGCTCCCTTGTTTTCGTAAATCATAGCCACGTTGTATAAATTCGTTCCATCATTTTCGTAAATCGTGGCTACATTGTACAAAATATAATAGAAGGATTTTCACCTCTACGCTTTCCTGTACACCCTAACAATGAGACAAACACAGTTTCTACCCAAGGCATTGCACATGGCTCAATCAACACACTTTATTTTGCAATAACAAATACTTCCTGTCCAAACACAAAAGAAATCAAAAGCCGTGCATTTTTTTTTAATACTACGCTATCGATAACTGATTTCCACCAATTTTTTTATTTATTTTTTTGCACTAATTACCATTAAGTGCAGAACTGGGTTTTCGGGACTGGTATTTCTGAATGGATATCTGATTTATGATCATGTCATACTTCAAAAAATAACTAGACTGCCACTGAGCTTATTAGGCAAATAAGAAAAAAATGTATATATAAATATATATGGATATATCCTGTATATATAAAGATGTTTGTAACTAGTGAGCTGATGCTTGGTTTTTTTTTCTCATAAAAATGTCACGCTCCGCTATAGCTTATATGCAAGAAAATAACCTGAATTCATGTTTAACAAATTGCATAATGGGAATACAGAGGCACTTCCTTGATTAGAAAAGAAAAGACCATTGCCATCACGATTCTCGTGTTAATTTTCTACCAAAGCGATGACACGGCCGCCATCCGGCAACAATGCTTCCCTGCAGTGAGATACATGGTCAGGCAGTCCAGTTATTTTGTGAGGTTACCGATTACAGTTGCTTCAAAAACAAAACTTTATCAGCGGATGAAGATCTCCCTACTCTAATTCACTGTAAAGGCTTCCCTTTGTAGTCAATCTGTGGAGGAGAGTGCGTGTATGTGCAGACAGCCATGCCGAAACGTTACCAAATTTAGAGTAAAATGCTACTGAAGTGAATGGTGAAACGCAGCTTCTAATAACAGTGGTCCGAGCGGCCCACCTCCCTCTGAGCACGGCTATGATATGTCGCATATTCTTTTGCTCCGCAGCGAGGTCACATGCTCTTGGAACACAGACTTCTGGGAGTGTAAACGGGTACGTAAACAAAAGACAGAAGTGGGCGTGTCTCTAGGGCCGTCTTTATTAGTGCTAATGAATCAGGGACTTTTATTATGCCTCTAGTCATTTTAATATGATTCCACTTGAATGGGAATTTCACTATTAGCAGATTTCAAATCAGGTTCAAGATGGTCACATAATTCGCCAAGTTCACCAGCATATTTGGTGCTTTGTGCATTGCTACACTATTGACATTGGACCTTTTTTTGAAAAAAAAAAACAATTTAAAACATATTTTAGACATATGGCTTTAATTTAAAAAAGAATGGGAGTTTTAAATAAAAGATGCATTGCATTAACTGGGACTTTTTTTGTTGTTGCAAAACTTCACAGGCAAAATCTCATCATTTTAAAGAGATAATTCAACCAAAAATGAAAATGAGTTGACGGTAGCCATTGACTTCCATAGTATGGGAAAAATACTATGTAAGTCAATGGCTACCATCAACTGTTTGGTTACCCACATTTTTCAAAAAATCTTCTTTTGTGTTCAACAGAAGAAAGAAACTCGTACAGGTTTGGAACAACTTGAGGGTGTAAATGATGGCAGAATTTCATTTTTGGATGAACTAACCCTTTAATAAGAATCCATGCAATCAGGAATTTCACGTGAAATTAAGAAATTTGGTCACACAAACATTTTTATTTTTTTGCCCACAAAATTTCGTCAACGTGGACCGCACCTTAAGTGTGTACTGGTTGGCTTTATTCATCCTATAGAAGTACTAACTAAAATCTGGTGCTGTCTAGTTGGCACTAAGTGCCTGAAATGGACTTTTTGTTTTAATAAAAAATTCTGTTTGAGGCCTGAAAATGAGAACGGGTATCTGGGTAGCTTTAGTCTGCCAGTTAGTTTTTCTCCGCAATAAAATGTGCAAATAATGTCCGCCGTCAATTCCATTTTCAATAGTGCACATCGAACTAGTGTTCTTCGCATTACTGTAGTGCAATACTTCGTAGTTAGTTTAGTAATTGACCGCAAAAGGGAAAGAAAGACGTTTCTACTGCATGCTAATTAGCTAAAAATGCAAAACGTCCGGGGCTCTTATGATGTGAAATGACTTTTAGTGTCGCCTGTATGCTGAACATCAGCAAGTGTTTTGAAAACAAAAAAATTGAAGTTTAATTGGTCAAAATCTTGCGTTTTTGTTGTGTCTGAATCCTCACCACTCAAACTGTTGATAATCCCAGCCACTGTACACTACATCCTTGTTCCTAGTAAGATTTTCTGTCTGTGTTCATGGGGTTCTTCCTCCTCTATGTTGCCGTTGGTTTGGTGACGGTTCTTGCGAGATGCTGTAGGTGCGTGTCAGTCCCTCACCTCCTGCTGTGATCTGAAAGTCTTTATCGGAGGTGGAGGGGTGGGCTTGAAGGGCGTCTGACGGTTGGCAAACACAGGGTCGAACGTTTCCCAATCATATGCTGCTCACGTTTCTTAGGGCGCGTTCCGGGTCGGAGGGGATTTTCAAACAGGATTTAAAATTTTTTTTGTCATAAAACTTCCAAATTGTGTTGACAGGTTGCAGGCAGGACCTCGTCAAAGGAACCATGACTGTAAAAAACACACACAAAAGAATAAAGGCACTGTTAGTGTTAAATCTAAAAATACATCAGCTCAGTGAAAACATTATATTATTATAAAATAATCTGTGCAGGAAGAATTTGACTTATTTTAAATCCGATAAGTACTATCAAGACCAATATCGATTTTTAGTTTTTTCAATTTCTGAGGATAAAAACGGACAATTATAGGCATTTTACATTATACGTCTGCTACTCATCACTGTATTGTATAAAACATTGTGTTTTAAAAGCCTTAGTTTAAATGATAAATAAATATAACATAGGGCTAAACTAAAATGATCAAATATCACTCATTAACAACAATTACAGAACAAACTTTTAATTAATATTATTAATTAATTAAAATTCAAATAAACGTCACAAGCTTATTATAATTCGATCATTTGTTTCTATTTTATAATACATTTAATAAAATATAAATTTATTCAAATATAAAGTTATTAAATTACATGTATTATCATACAAACCTAGAACTGAATAATGTTTATAATTTGAATGCATTTAATAACATATAAATAAATAACCTTTAAATTTATTAAACTGATTGAGTCAAATGAATTGTCACAAAATTGTCATAATGTGTTTATAATTCTTATACATTTAATAAAATATAAATACATTTTTAACTTAAGTGAAATGTATTTTCACATAAAGCTAATTTTAAAAATTGTTTTGTATACATTTAATAAAATATAAATAACTCCTACATTTAAGTTATTAAATGTAATAAGTGAAATGTATTTTATTGCCACATAGACCTATATTTAATAATTTATGTTTATTTTTTACAATTTAATAAACTATAAATAAATAAAAAATTAGTTATTACATTTATTAAACTAAATTACGTGTATTTTATTGTCACATAAAGTGATTTTTACTTTTATGTAATAAATACATTGTAAATTGAAGTTATTGAATTTATTAAAGTGTTCCATTTTATTTGAAATTTATATTTGAACTTTATAATCTTAAAGTTAGTGTGCATGTTTCAGTATGTACTGATATTAGAAGCTTAAACATTTTCAATAGAATCAGTATTTTTATGTTATAATCAATACTCTTGATGCATTCATTCAAAAGTATGGAAACTTCAAGATGGATCTGGATCTGGATGTTGACTGTGAATGTGAAGAGATGCTGCTGTCAGTGATGTGAGCACTAGAGGTCAGGCTTGACTCTCACACGTCTGCCTGCTCTTCACTCTCAGAGCTGTTCAGTCTGACCTGCTTACCATATGAGTCTGACCTGAACTAAACCAGCAAACCTCCCTTCTGGGAATGTCATGTCAGCGAAGCTGTGACGCATCTCTACATACCATCACACTGACTTTATCAACATCAGAAGACACTCTGTTAATGCATCTCGGGAGTTCAGCTCATAAAGCTCAGATATCACACTGATAACGCCGATGGACAGAGAAATATTTACACAAACTTTATAGTGCATTCACGTCATGCTGGAATTAAACCGTGTTTCCCAATAAAACACATGTCTTTGTCAAACTGGTATTTTTTAATAGGAAAATCATTTAACTTTTGTGACGTCATAAAAACAACTAAAACGGCAGCAGATTTAACTGAGTTAGATATCCATCTCTACACATTCCACTGTTTATTATAAGTCAGTACAGCAGTCCAGCTCTGCTAAATAGCCTATAAAGCACACAGTAAGAGCAATATCACAACGCAGACCTTAGTTCACATATCAGAGACTAAATCTTTTAGAGGAAGGATGGTCTTCACTACTGTGCTTTATATTTTCATGGCTGTGTTCTTCTCTAAATATTTCGATTATAAAAATAAATAATGATGTAATAAGTATTCATAGTGATTTATAATAATATATTTAAAATAATATATGCACCTATAAATATCATAACATTTTATATAAAAATAATATCTGTAAAATAATGCATTCATATATTATATTTATTACATTTTTAATATATATTGCGCCAACATCTTTTACATTATATAACAATGTAAATTGAACACATTATATATAATGCATAATAATATATAAAATGATAACATTATAAATATAACTGTATAATTTTAATTATAATTCATTTTATAATTAAATTATAAGTTTATATATAAAATTATATATATATATATAATTATATATTTAAATAAATTGAATTTTAATATAAATTGTGCCCAAACATTTAAAATATAAAAAACTGAAATAAAAAAAATTATTGAAATAATAAAAAATAATGAAAATAAATGTATAATACATTTTATAATATGAAATATTCAAAAATTATATTATTTGTGCAGTATATGTAATATGTATATAGTAATGTATATGTATATAATAAATACATTCACAATTACTAGAATCATAATTACTTATATAATTTATATTATTTTACAATAATATCCCTAATGTAATTCATTTATATATAAACTCATATTTATAATATATAATAACAATATTTTATATTTACAATATATAACTATAAAATAACATCTACAATACACTTACATATATTTGATATCAATTCTATTTTTAATACAAATGTTAATATAATAATGTTCTCCAATCCGCTCGCATACCTTGCCTTGTGAGATAAATGTACTTGCACAAGAGCTCTTGTTAGGCTATTTATTGAAACTTATCACATATTGTGATTGTGATGCGGCGCTCAGGAGATGATAGCGAGAGCTGGGCTCTGCATTCAAATGAGAGCGGGATTGTTACTCCTGATTGGTTTTACAAAACTCTCGAGAAGTCAAATCCTGGAAACACTTTGGCTGAGAGGCTCTGTTAGGAGGGGCGGCGGGTAACTTTTGTTCTGGTTGACTCTTGCAGGTCACGCAAACACCACCACCCGCCCAACAGCCACTCGGGCCAAGTAACTCTTCCCCTGTAAGCTGTACTCCTCCCTCTCGCAATCCCATCTTCCCCCCGTAATCCTTGGCATTGACCAGCTCTGCCCCCCCACCCTCAAGTTCAAGTTCAACTGCCTGTGACATCATGTCTCGTTGCTGTGGGCAACCAGACAGATGGGACGTGACTTTTTAGTTTAGGGCCCGTGCTTCAACTTTGCCGGTCTTCTCCGTTCCTGTCTCACATATCCGCAGTTCTTTTCTCGTTTTTCTGACTGGGAACGACATGGAGCTGAGAGAACTTCCCCGCACGGACATACAGTGGCCCAAAAAGTGTTCCAACAGTTAAAAATGTTTGAATATCACTACATAAGATGCTGAGTCTGTATCTTCTGATCTTTTCTTTTCACCAACATCATTTTTACTTAGTGTTTTCTGACAAAACTGTTTTTTTTTTTTTTACAATTATTAATGCACTTTCTCGAAAGAAAAAAGAAAGGAAAAGAAAAGAAATGAATATGTGTCTGTATCTGTGTGTCTTGAATCCTGCAGGATCTTTTCTCCTCGATATCATCATTTTTGTGTCTTTTGATGAACCGTTTTTTTTTTTTTTTTTGGTGATTTTTACACTTATTAATGCACATTCTCATGTACAATTTCTTAAAATTAGAAATAAAACAAACAAAAATAAATACATAAATGTTTGAAGGTCGCTACATTAGATGACAAGTCTGTATCTGTCTCAAATGCCATCATTTTTGTTCAGTGTCTTCTAAAAAAAACAAAAAAACTAAAATAAAGTACAATAAAATTATTCGTAAAAGTATTCCAACACTTCAAGGCAAAAAATGTTTGAATGTCACTGCATTAGTAAAGTGTCTGTATTTGTGTGTCTTAAGCACTGCAGGATCTTTTCTATTCACCAATCTTTTTTTTTTTTTTACCAACTTCACTTTTGTCAAGACTGGTGTTTCAGTGATTTTCAGTAGCGTTCACACAGGCGTCCCAGTAGAGGAACCACAGGTGAAGAAAATCACATCGAATATGAACATCACACACTAACAATTCACAAGCACAGAGTGCCATAAAGCTTTTGTTGAGTTATCACTGAAAACCTAATAAAAGCTATTTCTGTGTAATGTGTTTGAAAAGTGCTCTTTTTTCTTCAATCCATATGTCACTTGCTTTGATATTTTGTTATAATAACGCAATAACATTTTAAAGTTCAACTAAAGTGTCCAAATATCTTTTGGGGACATATGAAAACTTGAGCGCAATATCACTGATACTCTCATGAAACATGTCTTTGAATTAAATCACACTGAATTACAATTAATAACACTCAATGGACATTTTCTTAACAAAACAAACAAACAAATAATTATTTTGCTATTCTCATTGCCTCTTGCTTTTATCAATGTATGTATTACACTGAATTAAAATTAAAATAAATAAATAAAATGATAATTTATTTGACTATTGTTTCATTTTACAGTTTGAATTACAATTATTAACACAATTTCTTAATGCACATTTTCCTAACAATAACAAATAAAACAATACTAATAAAATAAATACATTTTTTCACTGTTGTGTAGTAATTATAACAGTGAAAATGTACTTTCACTACTGTCTCATTGCCTCTTGCATTTATCTTATCTATGTTTGTATTACAATAAATTACAAATATGAATGCACTCTCAGTGCACACTTTCTTAACAATACCAAATTTTAAAAAAACTAATAAAATAAATATTTTACTGTTGTTGTGTAAAAACAATAACATTCTTTTACTACTGCCTCACCGCCTCTTGTATCTTATATCAGTGCTTGCATTACAATGAATTTCAACTAATGCATTTCTCAATGCACATTTTCTTAAAAATAAAATAATAAACAAACAAATAAGTTCAACTGCAAATAACGAATCTTCGCTAAACGTTTACTCATGATACCCACTGCTATTTTGCACACTCGTGCAGTTTATCTCTGCGAGGACCAAAAAAGTGCTTCCTCTGCCTTCCAAAATTTAGGGTGAACACAGTGGAAAATGTGCGAAATCAGACAAAGCGAAGTCACTGCCAAGGAGTCACGGCAGGAGAGAAGAAACAAAAACAGAAGTCATCAGCAGAGGATGATAGCGAGTCGAGAAACGAGTTCAAGAAGGTAGAAATGAGGAAAGGTTAAGCAGAAAGAGTGGAAAATAAATGGTCAAATCCAGAGAGGCCGACCAGCAGAGGGAGGAGGTGAGAGCGGGTGAGTTAGCGGCTTCAGATGGTCACCATGTGTTGAGGAGCAGGGAGCCGCCCCGGGGCGGGTGTGCTTTACACATTAATGACTAAAGTGTACTGGGTGATAGAGGAGCGCGGTGTGGTGGCCGCACATTCGCAATGCTCAAATCAACTACACCGCCCGATCACCTTGAGTTATCACAGGCTCGCTCCAGATGAGCCTGACACCACATCGCAGAGAGCATCATGGGAAATGGGGAAAGTCAGGAGGGGAGGAGCGATGCATGATTTTAAACACTCAAAAGGTTGTTTTGAATACGACAGAGTAAGAATCACCTGCGTCTGCTGGGGTATGTTCAGAAAGTTGTTGTCCCGTGATCCGATGCTGACAAACCTGTTGGGAGCTGTGGAGCCTGGCGTGGAGTATGCTGAGAGAGAGAGAGAAAATATAAATAAAAAAATGATTTTCATAAAAAAGCATGTTTTATTTAATTTTATTTAACAAAAAAAATCACCCTGTACAATATTAGCAAAATCATTTAGTCATTAAAATACATTTTAGTCAATTTGATCTATTTGAAAAGATCATTTGATTCTGCAAAGGCAAACCTTCAGCTATATTGTGCGAATTTCATGAAATATATAGTGGAAACTGAAACTTTTCTGTACTGAACTGACTTGTTGGCAAACAAAAGTAATGTAAGAATTTATCATCAAAGATACACTATGTTTGATTGTTATTGGTTCAAACGGGTGAAGATCAATAGATTAAAAAGGTGTTTGAAGTCTATCAAATTTAGGGCAGTTTTTGTTTGGTTTCAGATTTATTTTATGGACTCCATAGTGTAACTGTTCATCAAATATGGAATTCTAACATAAATCAGTATGTGTGTAAAAACATGGAAACACAAAGAGCCGTATTTGTTCTACGGTTTGCTGTTAGTTTTTCATCAGCAAGCATTCAAAAAGGCACAAAGAAATGAAAAGCTGCTTTGTTCATTAAATTCTATGTTAATTCATATAACTTCTTTATTAATATAGAATTGAATTACATAGAATACGTAAAATATTAATGCAACAATAAATGCAACCTGCGATTGCAGAACTAAATTCTACATCAGTGCAAAAAAAGTTCTATATTAATACAAAATTGAATTCTATATTATAAATATATAAACACTAATATATAAAGTCATGTGACCACAGAATTGAATTTTACTATAATGAAAATAAATTCTATATAACACAGAATTTAATTATATCAATTATATAAAATTAAACACCAACATATAAACTCCTGTGATTGCAGAATTCAATTCTACATGACAAATTCTATATTAATATAGAATTGATATATAAACAGTGATCACAGAACTGAATTCTACATTAATGCAAATAAACGAGTTTCTATAAACCTTTGATTGTGGTTTGCAACCATGAAACACCTATTGTGAACTATATTATCTGGCAGAATAAATCTGATCCTTACTTATTAATTATTTACTGACCGTTTGCATCTTTTTTCATATTGTTGTTATGGCCATTATATAAAAAATAATCAGCCACAAGAGGCCATGTGTATTTTTTAATGGCTAAGGGGGCTTCAGGACATTTGTTATGTATCTTTACCCCAAACAACCCCCATTAACCATGGTAAACTCATAATACATGACCTCTATATGCTTAATGCTGTAACAATAAACACTCTCTATTTATTTGTGAGCAGGTGAGTTAAGTGCGTTCTGGAGAATCAGCAGCAACATATAAACACATAAAAAGACACACACAAACAACATAAAAACTATTGAAACAATGAAAGAAAACACAATGAAAAGGAACAAAAACTAAAGTAAACATGAAAGAAAAGAGGAAAGGAAATGCAAGTGCTCCGTCCAGTGCCCCGTCTGTGGTGAGTAAACATTTTACAGTACGTCTGATTATCCACCCCGTTAGGCCACCTCCTTTCTGAACGACCCAAATTTGGTTCATGTACTAGACGAACTGACCTTTAGACCAGCACTGGAGCTCAACTATCACATTCCACAGGCCAAAGCTTACCAGCAATGTGAACGTAACCAAAACAAACTCAAATGAAACCAACGTAAAATTACAAAGCATGGGTTTCTGAATGTTGCATTCCGGAGTGTAAAGGTCCTTTCACATCAAGTCAGGGCTGCAACAGCACAAACCAACCTGGACCACATTACAAGTTCAAGACGGTCTAAACTGGTCTTTTCAGTTTGGTAGATACAGACTCTTCTGTCTTGTTTTGATTTTAGCGCCAGAACTGCCACAACAGCGAATTGTACAATAATAGCTGCATTTCGAAAACTGTTTGAACTAAAATGCATTTAAAAAGGTACTTTGGAGTCCACTTTAACTGCCCTAAATTTGCACCCTTCAACACAGAGCCCCCAAAAGGACTTGGTCATGGAAAAATATGAGATGGGAGGAAAAAAATAATTTAGCGTTTGCAAAACCTTTGCGTTCTCTTGCAAAGTTATTGTGTTTTTTGAGAAACTTTGCGTTCACTTGCAAATATATTCTCTGCATTCCCCCCCAAGACATTTTGCATTCGCTTGCAAAACTTTTGTGCTGCCCCGAGAAATTTTGAGTTCACTTGCGAAACTTGCGTTCTCTTGCAAAAGTATTGCTTTCCCCCCAAAAAAATTAAGTTAGCTTGCAAAATTTTGAGTTTGCTTGCAAAACTTGACACAAACAGGGTGAGGAGTACGGACACACCCGACACCCCACAAATGAAAAAAACAACGCAGGCTTGCTCCGAAAAAAAAAAAGGAATGGGGGGTGGCTGGTAGTGGAGAGTGTTGAGAGGGAAACAACCAAAAGGATGGTGAATGTCAGTTTGCTTTTGTTTATGAGGGGGTGTGTTTGTTTGTGCATCTTTGTGTGTTGACTTCACCACAGGCACAGACAGGAGCAGTGGAGGAGCAGGAAAAAACAAAATGAAGGACTTTAGGCAGAAGGTGAAGAAGAAGAAGAAAAAGAAGAAGAAGAAATGGACGCATGAATGGTGAGGTGAGTTTTGGTCCATGGAATGATATCAAATCAAAACCAGGGCGCAAAAAACTAAGCCACGTTCACGAGGCTGAAAAATGGCACAAGCAGAACTGAGGAGGGGATGCGCACTACACTGAAACGCACAGAGGTCGTCAGCTGTTACGCAGATGGGTTTTATCGTGGAAGGGGACAGAGAAGGAGAGATTAAGATCGTCTAGACAAGCACAAGATACATAACAGTGACCGATCAGTCGGCCTCAAAGACAAGGAACACACACATTTGTTTGCTTTGGAAAACACAGTTTGAGGTTACTGTAGTCAAGTTATCACACAAGGAGCTTGTTTCATGTTTAAAGAAGTACTAACAGAAATAAAACAGTTGATAATGTTAGATTCCCATTGAACAAAAAATACTAATTTTATGAATCATTAAATAATCCAATTTTAAAATCCAAAAATGCTGATTTTTTGGGGGTTATTTGGGTTAAGGCATGTAGTAATTTTAGATCAAATAAATGTGAATTAAATGTTATGAAATTTATGTTAAATATGACATAACCTCACTTACATATATATATGATTTATATAAAGTTAATTAGAATGACCACAGAGTAGCCCAAGCCCTAAAAGTTAACATTATTTAAAGGGGTCATGAATTGAGAAATCAACTTTTACTTGAGGTTTTGATATATAAGAGGTCATCGTATTAAAAGAATATCCTGTAAGTTTCAGAACTGAAAACGTCCTTGTTACTGAAATAAATGCTTTTATTAACACCAGGCCCAGCGAACGCCAGATCCTGGAATGTACCTATGAATGACGTAATAGATAGGTTTAGCACCGCCTCCAAAGAAGAATATCAATGCCTAATTCTGTAGCCCCGCCCACTGATTCACACATGACATAGCAGGGAAATAACATAAGTGCCACTTAACCGGATCGAGCAAAAATATGCTTGGTTGTGGAAGAACGCAGTCGTCGCATAACCTTCCTTCGGATTCAGATATTAGGAATGCGTGGTTGAACTTTATTTTTAATGAAGTTTCAGCTCACGTGAGTAAAACATTGAGCGTTTGTTCGCTTCATTTCACCACGGATTCCTTTGTAAACAAGACACAGGTCGACACTGGATTTGCAGAGAGACTCTATATTGGATCCGACAGGAATGGCGCAGCTCACTTATGTGAGTAAAATATGTGTCACTATTGCTTTGTTTGAGATTGCTCGATATGTCCTGATTATGTGTACGTGCATGTCTAACCAAAGTCACAGAAGGCTCTGACTATGAAGGACGTAGCTTGTCAAACAGACACACAGAAAATTAGTTTACTATGCAAAACTGCTATCCAATCATAGCAGTGGGCGCTTACTTCCAAGACTTCAACGCGGCACGCCTATAAAAACCCAGCGTTTCCTGAGCTGGCCTCAAAACCAGGGTAGAAAATAGCCTATTACTTACTGATTTTGATGTTTTTGAATGTAAAAACCACGCGAACGCCATAAGCGGACCTCAGACAACAGTATAAAATAATAAAATAAAGCCAGTTCGTGACCCCTTTAACATGTTTTTGGATGCTCGCTAACAGCAAAACTTCAATCTTAGCTTTGTTAAATGCAACAGTTGTCTTCACAATGTTAAGCTCAAGTTTAAGTTTCTTCAAATGCTTGATAATATTAGCGTCCTTGTTACTGAAATAAATGCTTTTATTAACACCAGGCCCAGCGAACGCCAGATCCTGGAATGTACCTATGAATGACGTAATAGATAGGTTTAGCACCGCCTCCAAAGAAGAATATCAATGCCTAATTCTGTAGCCCCGCCCACTGATTCACACATGACATAGCAGGGAAATAACATAAGTGCCACTTAACCGGATCGAGCAAAAATATGCTTGGTTGTGGAAGAACGCAGTCGTCGCATAACCTTCCTTCGGATTCAGATATTAGGAATGCGTGGTTGAACTTTATTTTTAATGAAGTTTCAGCTCACGTGAGTAAAACATTGAGCGTTTGTTCGCTTCATTTCACCACGGATTCCTTTGTAAACAAGACACAGGTCGACGCTGGATTTGCAGAGAGACTCTATATTGATCCGACAGGAATGGCGCAGCTCACTTATGTGAGTAAAATATGTGTCACTATTGCTTTGTTTGAGATTGCTCGATATGTCCTGATTATGTGTACGTGCATGTCTAACCAAAGTCACAGAAGGCTCTGACTATGAAGGACGTAGCTTGTCAAACAGACACACAGAAAATTAGTTTACTATGCAAAACTGCTATCCAATCATAGCAGTGGGCGCTTACTTCCAAGACTTCAACGCGGCACGCCTATAAAAACCCAGCGTTTCCTGAGCTGGCCTCAAAACCAGGGTAGAAAATAGCCTATTACTTACTGATTTTGATGTTTTTGAATGTAAAAACCACGCGAACGCCATAAGCGGACCTCAGACAACAGTATAAAATAATAAAATAAAGCCAGTTCGTGACCCCTTTAACATGTTTTTGGATGCTCGCTAACAGCAAAACTTCAATCTTAGCTTTGTTAAATGCAACAGTTGTCTTCACAATGTTAAGCTCAAGTTTAAGTTTCTTCAAATGCTTGATAATATTAGTTTTACAGAGAAAAAAATACATAAAATATAAATTAATTTCATACTTGAGGCATGAGTTTTTGGTTCACTGGGGCAAATGTGTTTGCTAAATATGACATCTAAGTTTTGTTTCATCAACATTTGGTTTTAAAGGATGGATAAAATTTAATTTTCATAATTTATTTTCTTAAAACAATGGCTATGTTACAATGGCATACTGTACAGTATATACTCTGTATTTTCCAACCATTTAACAAATAGAATGTGAAACAGTATGCAGTAAGCAACGATAAATGTTTATACAGTACAATGTGACAATGGCTACATTCTAAATGGAATACTAGTGTAAAGCTTCCTAAAGGATGAACATTGCATTGTGGGATACAGATTTCCATGCAGTGTTCTCTGTTGCATAGGATGCCATTCCCAGTATTCACTATAAACCAGCCAGAGAACCTCTGGATAAAACATCAAACATTTTTTGCAATATGTACAGCAAAGCAAATTACATGTACAGAAGCAATTAACTGACCCCAAAGTGTCCGATCATCACTTCCCGTATGAGGTCACTTCCTCTTACCTGACCACTAGTCTGTCCCGATCCGTCGGCGCACACGAACTGCACAAACTCCTTGAGCGGGTCCTGTCCCGGGTGGTGGTGGTATCGGATGGTGGGATGGGTGAAGTATGGGCTGGACTGCTGTATGATAGAGGATGAGGGGAAGTGCAGGGAGGAAGCTGAGGCACGGGGACTTCCTGCTGACAGACACACATACAGAGAGAGAGAGGTCAGTGATGCATATTGTGCCAGTATAAGTGCTAGTAGTATATCAGTAATGAGCGAGACTGACACACAAGGATACAATAAATGACATGAGATGGAAGTGATGGAAATCAATTCAGGAAAACTATGTGTGTGTGTGTGTGTGTGTGTGTGTCTGTTTACAAAAATTAGGGACAAAGCTGTTCCCAGGACAGAGCTAAACCTGACGAAACTTCCCTTGACAGATCCTACGGGACATCTTCATAGATAAAAATGATTCATAAATATATTGATCCAAAAATGCTAAAAGTTTTCTTTTAGTGGTTAGGATTTTGGTTAAGCTTTTACTATGAAGTAATTATTGTTAGTGTAATATAAAAACAATAAATGTGCAATAAATGTGAGTAAATGTGTTCATCAGTTCACAAAGTATTACAAAAAGAATATTCATAATAAAATAAAAACATATGAATTTATTAATTTATATATAAAATATATAAATTCATAAATGCATAAAATATAGATTTATGTACAACATTTAAAATATATATTACATATTTATCTCTTTCTGTGTTCTATTTCATTCTCACTCTTTTAATTTCTCATAAACTCAAAATTATGCAGACAGACACAAACATGCTCTCCAAGTCAAAAAGCCTCTTAATTGCCATTTCATCATGTGTGATGTAACAATTTTTAATACAAAATTTCAAGAGAGCCCCAAAACTCTTAATATGGACGACTATACCAACTAGGTATTGACCATAAACGAGCAAGAGATTGCTTCAACTTGAACATCGGTTACAGATTTTATATCTTAGACGACAGCTTAGACGTTACTTGAACTGCAGGAAATGGTATGAAAACACAAATAAACAAATAAAACATTATCTAAAGCATGTGCAATTGGGAAAAAAATGCAATATTGACAGATTTTTGTATCAGCACAACTCTAATGTGAACAAACTGCAGTAGTCATGACGTGCTCTCATTTGCATGAAGAATAACATTACACTCATCTCCCGACCAGCGAGTGGAGGGGTGAGGGGTCTTGTCTCCTCCAGCCAAGCAGGGCCCCCAGCTTCCCGGGACAGTCTGCCAACTTCCAGAGCCTCCCTGTAACCCAGACGCGGGCGCTGCGCTCCCAGCCAAAGCACTGCTTTTCACCCTCTTTGCCACGCAGACTGCTATTCCCTCCTCTTCCTCCGTTTCTTTCGCGCTTTCATCATCCACCCTTTAATCCCATTAGGGAATGGGATGGAGCCAAGGCTTCAAGGAGGAGGCAAATGGCACTGCAAACTACTGCCACCAAAGACCCGCTCCCACCAGGAGTGACTCCACAACAACAGCTCTAAACACAACCACGCTACACACAACAACACATGCCCACACAACTAGAGTGCATTGCATAATATCACCAGCAATTCATCTGAACGTATGACGCTATCTATCTATCTATCTATCTATCTATCTATCTATCTATCTATCTATCTATCTATCTATCTATCTATCTATCTATCTATCTATCTATCTATCTATCTATCTATCTATCTATCTATCTATCTATCTATCTATCTATCTATCTATCTATCTGTCTGTCTGTCTGTCTGTCTATCTATCTATCTATCCATCCATCCATCCATCCATCCGTCCATCCATCTATCTACAGTGGTGTGAAAAAGTGTTGGCCCCTTTCCTGGTTTAATTTTTTTTTTGCATATTTGTCACAATTAAAAGATTCAGATCATCAAACAAATTTTAATATTACACAAAGATAATGCAAGTAAATACAAAATGCAGTTTTTAAATTATGATTTCTTTTATTAAGGGAAAAAAGCTGTCCAAACCTGCCTGGCCCTACGTGAAAAAGTAATTGCCCCCTAAATCTAATAACTGGTTGTGCCACGCTTTGCAGCAACAACTGCAATCAAGTGTTTGCGAT